TAGCAGAAATAATATTAGCCATTTGGGCACAACAATTCCAGAGAAACCTCGATTGTTGTTCGCAAGCAGAAAATAAGCCTCTATGTGCTTATAATAATCCTTGCATTTGATATAGGATCTTATCTCATCTTCAAGACGTCTCAAAGCGCTTCACAGAATATACTGTAAAGTGAATTGACTGTATATTTTGTGGGCGAAATGCACCACCATTGAAAAACCAGAGGATTGTGGTGAGGGGGATTTGAAGGATATTTTAAATACATCTTTCAGAATAGTGCGGTTAAAAGTGTACATACTACAAAGCTGGCAAGAGTTGGACCCTTGTAACATTTAGTTAAATTACTGTTTCTTTCTGGATGCACAGATCAAACAAGGATTTGTCCCCTTTACATGGAAGGAACTCTGTTGCAACTTGTAAAAGTCAAAACACCTTTAAATAAAAGTCAGAGAGGGTTTTGTAGAATAAGTGAGCCTCACATGCAGCTGAACATCCTGCCAAGTGTTCCCAGGGGGGTGGACAGATGGCAAGCATGCTGATGGCTCCATTTAACACATGAACTGGGTTTAAACTGGGTTGATAGGCGAGAATTGGAGGGGAATGATGATACTGGGACCTAAATAAGAAAAACAAATGTCCTTCACTTCACCAACTAGAAACATCTTACAGGTAAGTGAATTCACAATGTATTGTGAAAACATAAACATAACTGTATTGTCTTCAAGAGAATCTAAAGCAAAACTTGAATAAATTACAAGTACATTTGCCCAATGCCAATATAATGTACTTCACTGCTAGAACATTGATACATTAAACAAAATTGTAGCAAAAGTGGATGCTAGTTTTGAACCTGATGTTTGCGGTAATATGATCTCATCAAGTTACAAAGTATTGGCTCTGAGTATTGCAGTATTGCATCTGAGTTGTGATCAGATTGGCTGGATATCCAATGTATTCCAGCAACTGTGCTCAATCCAATCCAACTGCACAATAGTATGCAATGTAGCCAAAATGTCATGGACATGGTTAATAAGATGCATACACTCCAATACTTTCTGGGAAAATGATCTGGTGGTGGGTCGAAGGACCACCATCTTAAAGCTGATACATCCCCTGGTCTGTTGTTGTTGCCGTCTGGTATATGTGATGTACCCTAGAGAAGATGTTGTGCAGGATACCATGACAGGTAGTGTGCTTCCTGCCATTTGGAAGCAAACTCTTCATTAGATGATGTGTCTCTGTGGCTCACGACCACCTCCCCAATGATCTGATGTCCTCTTGTGTCTCTTCACCATCCTTCTCCAAGATAACAATAAACTGAGGAATGAAGCTGGATAATGATGGCTCATCTGTGGAGACATGAAGGTCATTATTGCTCCACTGAGGAATTAGGAATAAAATTGCTCTGGAAATGTAGGGCTGTTGAAAACACTATGGGGCACAGGCATGTGGAACTCAATTGAATTTACGAAATACAGGACTTTTTCATGAAAATTGATGACTTTACACACTGCTCATATCAAGCTGAGTAAAGGTAACCCTTAATAACAGGTGTTCTGCAGGAAGGATGCTGTAAAAATAAAATATTTCACACTTACCAGATCTCCGGGGCTCTGGGGAAGTTCCTTCTCTTTGGTGGCTGCTGGAATGACTCTGTGATCTAGCTTCAAAGTCACGTACATGTTTTCTTCCTTGGCTGCAGCAGGCTTTGTATCTTGGTTTACTGTGTTCCACATTTTCCCAGCAAAACCAATCCATTTGTCAATCCATTTCTACAACCCCGCAAGGATTTTTACTACTTGAAAACTACGGCTGCTTTTCTTTGCCACCATAGTCCAGCCATGTGTTTGCCCTTCTGAGGTTGGTAGCATCGATTTTTTTGTGCCTGAAAGCATCTTTTTATTTCAGGAAATATTTAACTAGAATATTAACTCCCGTTTCAACAAAAATGTAATTGCCTTTTAATTTTAGGCTTTGCTTCCATTGTCCATCCTTTTCCACCCACATGGTATAATGGCATATCCAGCAGCATTCGGTAGAATATATTAAATATGAAAGTGCCTTGTTTTTTGAAGTGATGAAAGATTTGAAGGATTCTCACCAACTTACATTTGGGTATCTTAACTTAGCTTACTTACTACCAGTAAGATGACATTCGTAGAAATTCAGATGTTTGTAGAAATTTGCAGTGTTGCTGCCTGGACAATTAGTGAATAGATGCAATTGCTATTTCATTACTATTTATAATATTGACTGCGCTTATGATCACCTCCCCTTTCCCCTTCTCCCTTGCTCGGCATCGAACACCACCACTGTGTATTGCTCCGATATGCTATCCTGCTCTATATGAATGAAAGTTGTTGTTAGATTTTAATACCAATAAATGAAGGATCTTATCTACTTCTGAGTTTCCATATGCTTCACTGACCTACGTTATAAATTCCTGAGTGACCAGATCCAGAATTTGTCCACGACGTTCACCTGAGAATACTAATATGGAGATCATACTGTTCATTTAACAGATCCACAATTTCCTACGCCTCCCTCATAATATTATACTTGATATTATACTGTTATACTGTACTCTATATTATACTCTCAACACAATTATTTGTCTTTACAATCTCTTTCCACTATTTCCAAGCTACATTTCTATTGTCATTTCACCCCTTCAATACTCATGTTAATTATCCTCAAGAAGCATTCTTACAATTCTGTCCTTTTCCTACTTTTTATTTATTTTATCTTTTCAATTGTATCTGCTTGGTGTTTTGGTTATTTTTATGTCCTTTTTCTGCAACGGTGGTTTGGACCTCACTGTTTTCTTTTTGCTCTCATCAGAACGTATTTCTTCACTAGTTGCCATGAATAAGGCTTCTGACATTTCCCCATCTGTTGTTCTTTTGATGGCTATTATATCAACCATTACCCATAATGACTGGGTTATTAAATCTATATTTGCATAACATTATTTATGCTCTTAGCTCCATTTCACATTCACCTTTCCACTTGCAATAATATCATTATTTTCACTAAGTGCACATCATTTTCAATTTAAAAAAAATGTTTGTGGAATAATAAAATAAAAGTTATACGTGCTCTCTATTTGAACCTTTTGTTATATTTGCATTTCTTTCTTCTACCTTTTGATCCAACCCAAACCTCTTTATAGAATGAGTATGTGGATTAAAATTCCAAGTTATGTTTCAGAATTCACATATTGTGATGGCAAATGCTAATAGAATATTAAAACTGTAATTGAACTTACACATACTTTTGCTTCCTTATCACTTCCCACTTTTAACATTCAGCAGCTTCTGATGTGATTTTCTTCAGGTCTATCTCCTGTGTGCCAGTTCAACATAAGCAAAACCCCACTTACCCCCCAACCACTCCCAAGGTACTCATTGCATTGATCATTAGATGGTAATTGGCTGAATGGACCAAATTGAACTGAGGAACAGTGAAGATTCCTTCCCTTTGTGAACCATTCACAAGATGAGAAAAGTCTTTCTGTTAACACTCACTGATCGGTTTGTTGAGAACTACAGATCACTGTAGAGCCTTTTTTAGTTGCCTCCAAATATCCTTTCCATCTAAAGTAAGACACATTGGCTATACCAGGTGCCACTCAGTGAAGCTACAGACAAGAAGATCCTACCAAGACATGGCCCAGTGCATTAAAACACCAAAGCACTTTATCCAGATATTTCTAAGTTATTATATTAAATGTGTATCTATATATGAATCTTACTAACTTACCAGTTGAGTTTTGGGGAAAACCAGGCAGTGAAGCTGGACCGTTCACTCCTGGAAGAATAACAGGAGGAAGGCCTGGGAGTCCTGAATAGGATGTTGGCACGTTGAGTCCATGCAATGAATTGCTATCCATCATGCCTTGTTGCTGCAGAGTCTGCTGCTGTGAGGGTATGGCCAGAACATCTGTGGCCTTCTTTAAACGATCCATCTCTTGTTGAGCCATCAACTGACGGACAGTTGTAGGAGCGAGATAATCCTTTTCCCTATCTAGCTGGGTTCCTACTGTTTCCTTCAACTTATTGATGTGCTGCGGTGAGAATATGTGATCTCTGACAGATAAACGTGCAGTGTACGTTATTCCACACAGAGAACATTGTGGTTTTTGCACTTCGGTTCCAGTTTGATTCATCATGAATGATTTGGCCATGTTTAATTTGAATTTTTTATCTTTTGCACGAGCATTCTGAAACCAGACTTGAACAACTCTTTTTGGTAAATTAATCTCGTTGCCAAGCATTTCACACTCCTGCATTGTTGGCGTGCGGTAATCATTGAAGCATGACTTGAGGAGCTTCAGTTGAAGGTTGCTCATTTGAGTTCTGAAGCGCTTATGACCAAGGTAGTCATTGCTTCGTGATGCCTTTTTCCCAAACGGACTCGGAGAGCAAGGATCAGCTAAACTTGATGTTTCACTTCGATCAGCACTATCATCGAAGTCATTTTCCTTTGATCTGAAACTTAGAGAAGGGCTTGGTAAGCTTAGACCAGAAAGTCTTTCATCATAATAATCAGCAGCACTCACTGCCGCTACCATCTGATCACTAGTTAGTGGTGTTTTCAAGTCTTCTGTAAACTCCATACCAGTGGCGCCCGAATTGCTTTCCATGTCATTATTTCCTTCATCTGCTGTGCTTCCCTCACTGATACCTGTATTAACAGAAGACGTTTCATCATAATCCGTCTTACTCTGATCAAAGCTAACATCACCGTGGCCTGCGTTTGGGCTTCCAGTGTCTTCATTGCATTCTAATTTGAAGAACGAAGGGCTCACCAGATGTTTCGGTGACATTTCTGCTGATTTGCTGATGGGTGTTGACACTGTGGATGGTGCTTCGTTTTCACTTAATGCATCAGTCTTTAACAAAGTGAAAGTGGGAAATTCAAAATAGTTCTCTTTGTGCGGGCTGTCAATGTCATCATCTTGAGGCATAATCGGGCTGAGGGGGAGGTTGTAGCCCGCTTGTTTTGCTTCATGCCAGTGTCGAGAACGAATATGTGTTTCTAGTGCTGTTTTAGCTTTGAAGAGTGCTCGGCAAAAAGGACATCTCCTGTGAGAATGAGTTGGACCAACGGCACGAAACTGCCCCTTCCTTTCACGAGCTCGGGTGTTCTGAAACCAGACCTGAACTACCCGTTTTTTCAAGCCGACTTCATTTGATATGTGATCTAGCATTTTCCGAGTGGGATTAGAATCCAGCAAGTATTTTTCATACAGGATCTCCAATTGTTCCGGGGTAATTGTGGTTCGAAGCCTCTTATCACGCTGCGGCTCGTCACCGCTAATCATGCCTTCTTTTTCATTCTGATTGTTTTCTTCCTTTTCTTCCAATTTGCGTTTCACTGATCCGGAAGCTGCGTTGGGTGCCGTGGGAAGCGGTGTACTCGTCTGGGAGGACATCTGTGTCAGTGGTCCAGGGAGCAACTGCCCTGTCATCAGTGGGTTGTTGGGGTCAAAAATCATGTAGGGCATATCTAAAGATCGATCCAAAATTTGTGAATGGAGGAACTGATTTTGGGCTGCCAAAAAATGAATGTGCTGGTGCTCCTGCCAAAGTTCCAAAGTTGGAAAGGCATATTTACACTGGTCACATTGGTACTGTAACATCTGAGGAGGTAGACTGTTCTGTAAAGAGGTGACTGGTACAGGCAGGGGGCTGGAAGGAACGGCTGTGGTTTGAGGTTGTGAATGAGGTCTCGCTATTTGTGGTTGGGATTGTTTCTGCTGCTGTGATTGAGGTGTTGAAGGCTGCGGCTCAGCGGGAGGTGAAGATGTCGGTTGTATTGGTCTGGCCATTGGAGGGGGTTGAGCAGCCTCGCTTTGCTTTGGTTTTTCTACTGACAAGTTAGATTTGGGTGAACTTTTTTCTGTTTCCAGTTTGGGTGAAGGCATGAGAGGAGTACTGGAGCCGGAACCGGAGCCAGAGCCAGAGTTTGCTGTTGTTCCTAGTGTGGGCTTTGAGGAGTCTGTTGGGCCTGAAGCATCAGGGTGCTTTGACATCATTTGGTCTGTAGCATCCATTGAGTCTTCCGTTTGGCTGTCGTCTTGACCCTCGTCATCTTCGTCTTTGTAACACTGTTTCTTCTGATGAGTAATCAGATCGAAGATGCGGGGAAATACGACATTGCATTTTTTGCACTGGTACTGCATGTTACTGGTTCGAATATAGCGCTCGTTGGTCAGTTCCCTTCTTTCACTGTCTTTAGCATCAGCTTGGTTCTCGAAAGTTTTACGAGCCTTTTGACGTGCGTTTTGAAACCACACAACAATGACTCGGGTAGGTAAGGTTAGGACTGTTGACAATTGTTCGATTTCATCATCTTTCGGATAGGCGTTGGTATCAAAAAAGTCCTGGAGAACTCTCAATTGGTAGTCTGTGAATCGTGTTCTAGATGATCTCTTACTTAACGCACCATCTGCCCTGTAATATTCTACTGCAGTTAGATAAGTATCATTTCTGGATTCATCCAACGTGGTCAGAGGAGGGTTGTTGAAGTTATACGGGGAATCCTTGTTTCTTTGTCTTTCTTTGAAAAGAGTATTGCGAAACCAATGTTTAATGACCTTCTGGGGCAGGCCTGATTTTTCTGACATTTCTTGAATTTGTTCCTCGGTTGGTGAATTATTGATGTCAAAGTAAGCCCGCAAGACCTTCAGCTGATCGTCGGTGATTCTTGTGCGGGGGCGTTTGAACTGGTGATGCCTCAGAAAGTTGGGGTCAAAACCCAACTGCTGCTGACAGAGCTGGGTGAGTTCAGGAGATAAAGCGTCCATGGTCGGCAGCTGCAGAGTGAGCTGAGCAGGCAGAGAAGAATGCTGCATCATAAGTGGGGGGAAAAGAGGCAGATCCAACGAGATGGGCATCTGAACCTGGGACTGCGAGGAAGGGGGAGGAGGGGGTGGTGGAGGAGGGGGCGGTGGTGGTGGAGGTGGCAACGGGGATTGGGCAGATCCTTGGAGCTTTCCATTGCCTGTTGAGGGAGGGGGCGGCGGTGGAGGAGGAGGTGGAGGAGGTGGGGGAGGGGGTGCAGGTGGCTCTGGTGAGGACGGAGCTACAGGATACAGTTTGTCGTAAGCTTCTCTGTAGTTACACGCAAACGTTTCCAGTTCTCCAAAGGGGAAAAATTGGTAATGAACGTGCTCCTGGTGACTCTTCAGGATCAGAATGTTTGAAAAAAACTTGCCACATGAGAAACATTCCAGTTTGTCAGAATTGTCATTCTCCCCGTTCTTGCTCCTCTTCTGCACTTTCTGTTTGTTCTCGTTAAACTGGATGACCAATTCAAAGCCAAAATTTTCCAACAAGGCTTTTGCGGCATTACCCCTTGCGCCGGATGGAATGCGAGGAGGTGGGAGCTGTGGTTCCAGTGATTTCTGCTTTTTGGCCTCTCTATTCTCTCTTAAAGCTTCGGATTCCATTGAAAACTCATGCTGCGTCATTGCTTCAGTTTTCTCTGTGGCTTCTTCAGTTTCTTTATGGGAATAATTATCTTTTAACATCTGAGCCTCGGATGCACTGGCAGCATTCTGTTCTAACTTTGATTGTTTAACTGCTTGGTGCTGTTGCTTCTGTGCAAGCTGTTGAGCTTGCAATGCTTGATGTTGCTGCCCATGCTGTTGCAGGATTTGCAATTGATGCTGCCCTTGCATTTGCTGTTTCAGATCTTCCAGAAGAGTTCCTGTCATTGCAGACATTCCAAAGGCCCCTGAACCAGGGAGCCCTAGTTCTGTGTTGAGATTGAATTCGGTGCCTGGGATATAAAAGGGAAACAGAAACTGTGGCTGCTGTAACTGGAGCAAGGTTTCGGCTGTCATGGGGAAGTGTGGCAGCAGTGCTGGGTTCAGAAACTGGGTTTGAAAGAATGCCGCTTGCTGCTGCAGTTCATGCTGTAGCTGCATTTGTGCCTGAGCATGAGCTTGTGCCTGGGCTTGGGCCTGGGCTTGTGACTGGGCCTGAAGCTGGGCCTGTGCCTGAAGCTGGGCCTGCACATGCAGCTGAGCCTGGCTCTGTGCTTGTGCTGGCGACTTGGGCGTTTGTTGGATGGACTGAGAAGAAATTGTTTCACTGAACTGTTTTTTGTTCGCGTCTTTGATATCCACATTGCTGTCCTTGTGACTGACTGACGGTGCCCCGAGAGAATCAGTACTCATCTGACCAGTGGAATGCAAGCTACTACTGCTAGCCACACCACTGTTTCCACCAACAGTGCTGCAGTTCCCTGCTTCCAGTTTGGCTGCCCTTGCTTTAGTCTGGTGAAGCACAGATCTCATATGTATTTCCAGTGTAGAGCTCTGGCTATACGCAACATTGCAAGTGTTGCATTTATAGGGCTTATTATCTACGCTGTTGTTGGACTCTTGAGGAACTGGACTTGATGCCTCTTGCAGAACTTTCTTCAGCTTGTGTAGGTGAGACACTGAATTATAATGAACCAAAAGGATGTTCTTTTGAGTGAAGGATTCTTTGCACACCGTGCACTTGTATGGTCGTGAAGGATCTAAGAACTTTTCCATTGTAAAATTTGGACCTTTCCTGAAAGGCAAGGTTCGTTTTGGTTCTGAACTAAATTCATCAAGAATAGAACTGCTGTCACTTCCTGCTGGACTCGCTTTGCCATCCTGATCAGTTTCTTCCTCCTTATCTGTTTCCTGTGCCAGAATATTATCCTCTTGACCCATCACCTCGTTTTCTGGCCAGAACTCTCCGTTCATGTGATAACTTCCATAGATCTGCTGAATCTCGGCCTCACTTAGTTCAGGGTGACTCGTCTCTAAGTGTTTCTTTAAAGCCAGAAATGTGCGGAAGCTGCGCTGACAAAGGCTACACATTGTGGCAGCCCGGATAGCATGGTACTGGGAATGGATCTGAAGTTTCTGCAAGGTCTTAAAAGCAAGGCTACATTGGTTGCAGCGGTATTTATAGACGTGTCGATCAGATACAGGCAACTGCTGCCTTTTCTGCATTTCATTTATTTGGTCCTGCAAAGATTCTGAACCCTTAAAGCTCTGGCTTCCATCTTTCTTCCACTCAGCGGTGTCTGAAGATTCCTTCAGTATCCTCTGCTCTTCATTTTTTGACTCAAATCCAGATTTTGAGCTGTCTGTGGCTGCGTAAAACTTCCCCTCTGAATTTTCTCCTGTTTAACAAAAATTAATATTACACATAAAAAACATACAGAGTTTAACAATTGCTAATAACAATGGGCACAACTCCCTTACACTCCTCCAGCAATGGGAACCATAAGGTAAACCTCAAACCTCCCCCCACCCCCACCAAACACACACACTCTGCCTTGACAACAGAAACTCTAGCTCTACCTAATGATCAACCCTGTTGAATGCAGGCTGGATAGGAGGGGACAGTTAACACAAAATATTACTGTACATTGTAACTTACTGAGATATGCTACCAAATGCCATCAGATCATTAATTATCACTTTCCAAACCATTATAGACTTTAGCTAATTCGCAAGTGACTCTGAGACTGAAAATGTATTCCTCAATCAAGAATTCCCAGTACAATAATCAAGAATTGAACTTGTGTGTGTAGGGGAGTTAGAGATGAGCTATAACTACTTGATTGCAAAATGTATCACTCACACTTTTCATCCTGTACAAAGCATTTTTTCTCCCCTAACCCTCCTAACCCTAACTAGCAGCTAGCTAGTAAAATCCACCCTAGACATATGCTACTCAAGACAACAACAACAAGAAAATTACATTTATATAGCATATGCCATCCTAGACATATACGCACTAGGAATGAGCACAACCCAGTCAATAATTTATTACTAGTCTCCTCACCTATTCTAAATGCTGCCTGCCACATTCCCTACAACTCACCACTGAATTACAACAACAGCAACAACAACATGTATTTATATAGTGCCCTCCACCCCCGGCAGTGTCTCAGAGCGCTTAACAATGGCAGAGCCCGAGGCCGAGACGGGGATGGGGGAAGGTGACCGTAAGCGTGGTCGAAGAGGAAGGTCTTCAGGCGTGGGGAAGGAGGGGGCGAGGTGAAGGGATTAAGGGAGGGAGTTCCAACATTTCAGGGTGTAGTGGCTGAAGGCACGGCCGCCGATGGTGGAGTGGAGGATTCGGGGGACGCTGAGGAGGCCGGACCCAGTACAGTGGAGGCAGCGGGTACTGCTGTGGGGAAAGAGGAGGTTAGAGAGATAGGGGGATGCCAAGGAATGGAGGGATTTAAACACTAGGGTAGGATCTTGAAGTCGATCCGCTCTGTGACAGGGAACCAGTGGAGTTTGGCAAGGATTGGAGTAATCGGGGCACGATGTTTGGTGCGGGTGAGAATGCGGGCGGCGGAGTTTTGAATTAGCTGAATTTTGCGAATAGTGGAGGATGGGAGACTGGCGAGGAGGGCATTAAGAGTAGTCCAGCCGAGAGGTGACAAAGGCACAGATGAGAGTTCGGCAGCTTTTGGGGTGCGGTATTGTCAGAGACGGGCAATGTGGCGGAGGTGGAAGAAAGCGGTACTGGTCTGGGACTGGATCTGGGGGGGAAGGATAACTGGGGATTACCAAACTTACTGGGCCAACAAGTGATCACAAACATCCCTCAGTAGCATGCAGAGGAAAGGAAGGACTGAACCTCTCCTAAATATGAGATGTGATTTGCTATTACTGTGCAAACAGCTTCAAAGGATTGCAGTCTGAAGCATAACTTCCAGCAAAATCAATGAGTGGTTATTAAGACAGAAGCCCTACTCTAGACCCTTGTTAAAGTTATGAGCAACCAGTAGTCAGGCTCATGGTCCCAGACCGGAAACAAACCTACTTGATAACCTCTCCTCATGGAATAAGGATCTCCCAATATAAATGGTTTGAGAACCTGGCAACAGACTGGTCAATGTTTCCACAAATGACACATCATGATTCCAGAAAATTCTACTAAAGGTAGAATAGTTCGATAAACTCTAAACAATGTATTTATATCAAGACTAAGGTGGCCCCCCACAAACCTCATCATGCGACATCCAACTCAATAAAACCACAGCTATTTACAGTAAATTACACTATAAATTTACTGGTGAAAAACTAAACACAGATCAATACTTTAGATAAACCAACAGTAGAACAAGAGGACATAGGTTTAAAGTTGTAATGGGGAATTTCAGGACAGATACCAGGTAGTTTTTCTTTAAGTGGAGGGTATTGAATGGCTGGAACAGATTGCCAGGAAAGATGGCTAGCCTTATTTTATAAAGCAGCTTGATGCAGTGATGGGAGGGGGGTGTGGGGAAGGGGAGGGGGCAGTAGGATGTGTGTTCTGGAGGGAAGAGATTGGATCAGTCGATGGGCCTTCTTCATCCAGACCAATCTTGTAATTCTGTGATTTAGATAAAGTCTCTCACACTAGGATTTGCACCCAAACTGGTGGTAAGAGTGGGAGGGGGGTGAAAAGATGGCGAATTTAGTTTGAAGAATGCCTGCAAATACATATTTATACTGATCTCACTTCCATATCAATGTCAAACTAAAGCCTAAAAAAAAACTGAAGATTTGTAGCCTAGCCACCACATAATAGAGAAGGAATGAAGGGAAGTATGGAAACAGGAAACAACCCATAGAGCAGGTAGCTGGGATTGCTGGTACAGTAATCATTCCCTGTAAAGTTGGGGCTTGTTGCTATTTTTGTGGTCTCAGGGATGGGAAAACTCAAATCGTTCCATGAGGTTTATGAGGTCCTCATTGTGAGTATTCCCCTCCCCATCCTAGAGACCAAAAGAATAGCAAAAAAAAACGATGTCCCGCTTGTATTCCTCGGCTCTTAATCCCAGTTACTACAAAAAATATCAACAAATAGCACCCCAAACTAGGAAGAATAGTCCTCAATGTTTCCACCCAACTATCTGTGCTATGGCCTTTACCAATGTCCACACCCAATCTTCAAGTCTAAAGCATGAGTACAAGTATGTATAATTGTTAACAGACTCACCGCATAAACACATGTGTCTGCCAATACATCACATAAAGTGTACAATTCATTTATAAACCAACATACATCTCTGAAACAGTAACAGAAACATATCTGCTGTCATTTAGCGCGAAAGAACAAACCTTGCCAATTTTTCAGAATTCTGACCTTTGAAAGCAGTTTAATAGAAGCAAGATGTGAATCTTAGCATTTGGTTTATTCTTAAACTTTTCTCTTTCAAACAAAAACATACAGGGCAATTCCATTACACCTCCTTCCAACACCATGTAGCCCCCTTAAAGCGTTGAGGTCCTGTTGTTCCACACTATCCAGAAATGCAATTTCTGGGCTGAGTGTCTGGCTTCCCATGCTAAAAAATGTCCCACTTTCAGGGTCATTGTTGATATCACTTCCTGTGCGCTGCACACATGCATTATGTACAGGAAGCACTGCTGACATCACTTTGTGAGGGAACGTGACATCAGTGGAATTTCTTACACATAGCACGCAGGAATAGATGCCAGGAGCAACCTTAGCAACTGTAAGTCAGACCATTCTTTGGGCTTTGCTTACAAAGCAATTGTTGGGTATAATGGGTTGCCTTGTATTTAAATAATTACCATTGTTCCAACCTAGCTTTTACCTGATGATTTGCAAGATTCCTCTGTGCTTCCAGCTGCAGCATTGCTCGGCAAACATTGCATTTTCTCCGACACAAGAGAGGGCATCATCATGGGTGTCATCCCATCTGAAGATGACACCTATAAAAGTAGAAAAACGGATCAAACAATATTACTAATTGCAATATCATACATACATATTTACAACTGCACTCATTACACAAACCACCATAATGAAAGTCATTTTTCCTTTAACAGTGAAATCAATTCCGATAGCTGAATATATGAGCTTTATTCCTTTTAACACACATATTCAATGCTTATACTACTCATGTGCATTCATCCCCATTGACTTAGAATAGATGAATTCCCTTTGTCTATTCTGCATTTCAGACAACAAATGAGACACTGGTGTAAGTGGGGGCAAAGGGAGAGCTAACATGCAGTGTTTGTTTGCATTATCATATTGTTTGTTCCATGCTTATAATGCCAGCCTGGCTCAGTTGGTAGCACTCCTGCCTCTGGCTCAGAAGGTTGTGGGTTCAAGCCCCAGGTTGTGAATTTGAACTGACACATCATGATTCTAGGCTAACACTTTAATGCTTTGCTGGAGGTGCTGCCCTTTGGATGAGACATTAATACCAAGCTCCCGTCTTCCTGTTTAGGTGGACGTTAAAGATTGTATGGCATTATTTGAAAAGGAGTGAGTTTCGCCAGGTGTCCTGGTCCATATTTCCGCCAATTAAAATTGCTCATTCATTTCATGGCTTGTGGGACATTCCTGTGAACAAATGGCTGCCGTGTCACCTACGAAAATTCACCCTCTCATCGGCTTCACCCAATTTATTTTGTCGCCCGAGGAAATGTTCTTTGAAATTTTTCTGTGATTCTCAAAGGTAATGGAGCAAATTTCCAGATGTCAATCTAACCTATAACCTACATTATTCAAACCTGACCATCTGATAAGTGGTAAGTGCACAGCACAGTACTTGTCCGGCTAGGGCCACACTAACCATTAGAGCTTTGTTTTACAGGTTAAGGTTACGTCTACACTGCCAAATCTCACTGATGTCCTAGATTATGGCAGACCTGTGTAGCTTTTTAACTGTGCATCTCTCTTCTGTCAGTTCAACCCCAGGGAGACCCTGTGTATGTTTCGCTGCAGGAACGTGTTTTCATACATCTGATAACAACCTGACCTTATTCATTAGCACCTCACCACAGTTATTAGGCCAGCTCACTACTGAAACCCCCTTTTCACATTCTTGTGCTTTCATTTAAAATGTGGCGACCAAAATCCTAAACTCACTAATGAAGGCACCTCCCTAATAAGGGCAAAACAGGCCAGTCTATTGACTGCCCTTAATAGCTAGTTTCCATTGTATTTTTAGTCAATGATCACAATTCATTGTATTTTTAGTCAATGATAACTCATCACTCCAAAATCCTTTTCCTCTTTACCTAATGGATAAATATTCATGTTCGATGGTTCCACTGCCAAAGTACTTTACCTTACAATTATCCACATGAAAATCCATCTGCCGTTCCCCCCAGCTAAACTGCTTAATTTGTCTTGATTCTTTTGAAAGCTTATCAATTCTCTCCACGCTAATACTCCTCTGTCCACAGTTTGATGTGATAATATTAACAGAAGTATATTCTCCCCCACGTGAATTTTGTAAATAGCAATGGATCAAGAACAGTCCTGCAGAATTCCACCAGCCACTGGAATTGAAAAGAACACTCAAAAACTGCCTGAAAAAGCACTGTGACGTAAGGAATTTCCCCCTTTGCCAACTCATGAGACTTTGGCTGAGATCTCAGATCAGAGCTAAGATATTGCAGAAAACCAAAATTTACACCACAAAGTGCTTTTTCTGAGTTTCACTATGGGAGTTATTTTCACCTTAAGGGTCCCTAAGGTGAAAGTTTACCCATTTCTCATCACCTTTTTCTTTCTGTTTGTTAACTTGCGATCAGCCAAATAACTTGCCAGCAATTTCGCAAGTCATAATTTGCTTTAAAAACTCACCCGTGGAATTTTATCAAGTACTTTCTGAAGCTCCAGCTGAACTACAGTAAACACACTGTGCAGTTCTCATTTGAACACTTAGTTACATCCTTAAATATTTTTTGTGTCATGACCTATCTCTTTTAAATCCGTACAGACTGCTCTGAGCAACATCTCTGCTCATCAAGTAAACAGTAATAAGTGGCCATAAGATGTCTCTAGATGCTCATGTTCTCCTCTACTGATGTTAAGGTCTGTAATTTCCTTGTCAATGTGGTCTAAAATGTAGCAATTTCAAACAGGGTTTCTTGATAAGGAAACCAGACAGACGCCAAGTCGAGTTGTGGGAATTCAGCCTGACGTGATCTACATTCAGAGCGGGATTCATGCATCAATGCGACATGCAAACCGTTCTTCCACATCCTAAAGGAGTCTCCTTATGATGGAATCCTGATAGAAATTGCTGCATATTAACTCCCATATCTCACTCTTGTTTTAAATATCACAATAACATTTGCTTTTCTCCAGACTTAAGTCTGTATTATTGTATGAATAATATTGCAAATATTATTATGTAAAAGCAAATTTCCTTGTGTTTATGAAACTGCCAAAAATATTAACTATAGCTATGTCAAATTCCTTGTAATTCATCTGGTTCAGGTGTCCCCTAGACATTTAGGGTAGACCCTATTCTAAGTCAGTGGGGGGAAATAATCCCAGTGCTTTCAGTTTCTTTATAACACATGCTTCACTGACCCCTCCATATGTTATAGATTCCTGTCAGAGAGTATTTTGCTGCATTTAAAATGTATCTATATTCTTCATTTGTTAAGTCTGACATAAAACATTCTGTCACTTCTTGACATTACCTCCCCTTTTCGCCCCATAATATTTTGGCCAGCCTCTTGTGGATACATTTGGGTAATGCACATTGGAATAGTAAACAATGGATTTGTACAAATGTAATCAATGATTTATTTTATTCCTTTTGTTGATGGCTAACAATTTCCTTTTCTTTCTCTTATTTCTGTTTAACTTCAAAATACACAGTCACTGCACTTTATTGTATACCCTGTGAAGAGCTTTGAGATGTCCACCTGACATGAAAGGCATTATATCAAATGAAGAGATTATTATTTTCATTACAATTTAATCCACTTAATTCTTGTACCTATTTTAGCTTTCCTCGAATGACATGAATTTTTGTTTTCAAATAATTCTGCTTAACCTTTGAGGTTATTTCTGACTTGCTTCTTTAGCCATGATGCTCGAATCCTGCCATCTTTGGTCTTGTTCTCAAAGAGACACAATTCTTTCCTTCACCCCTTAAAAGAGCCGTGAAATTCTGTGCAGTCAATGGAAACCTGAAGCATTTATTCCCCATACGCAAGAATAATTTTTAAATCATAGCAGCCACTATTCACCCATTTTACACTGCGTACTATTTCATTTCTAAGTAGGAAAATGTGAACCAATATGTCAACTTCTGGTAATGTATGATGCTGAAATAGCATAGTGGTTCATCTACAAGTAAATTAGTAATTATCTTATGGCATAAATCACAACAGGAATGCATTTTGTGCTGAAAAGGGCAATAAACTCTCAGGCAGACGTGTATTTTAAATGGGATGGGTTTTAATTTTGCAGAATCTAGAGCCAATAACCCATTAACTGAGGTACATTTTAAACTGCTTACAGTCATAAGTAGCTTCTCTACGCAGTCAGGTGCCACGCTGTGTAAGTGGGTCAGGTGGAGCTGTAGATGGATCTTGTTGCTGAGGACGTCCTGACATAGAGGGCAGCAGATGACTGGCTGCATAGAATGTTGGGACATGACATGCAGCTGGATTCGGTTTGCATCCTTACTGTTATAATTACAGTAGGGACATTGGTAGAGCTGAAACAAAATAATATTTAATACAAGGCACATTAAAAACTGACGTGTGTGGCACGCAAGCTTCTCAGCTCCGCTTTTCTATTTTTAAAAAAAAAGATTTGCACATCACTTAGCTTTGAGGCTAAAAGATATTCAAAGTGTTACTTATAAAACGCAAAGTCAAACTTAATGCAGTCTTTATCGATGTCAACAGGGGCCAATTCTAGATGTTCAAAAATGGCAGCAGCTATTCAAATCATTCCTAATTTTTTTTTACAGTCAAGATTTCAGTTTCAGGAGCATATCTTTCACATTGTTCTACACCATTATTATTGTGAAAAATTAGACTCACACGTAAGATGCTATTTTCAATACTCTCGAACTGGCCCCTGCTTACAGTGCAGGAATTTCTTGCATCCAAGTCAAAAATTCCTTATGGCAATTTCCCTTTAAGTGATAATCGAAAACAGAAAATGTTTCATCAAAATGTACCAAAGACAACAACAATCTTTTTTAAAATGTTTATGAAACTTTTTTTATATACGAATTGGCCAGTAAAAAAAAACCTCGAGAAATAATTTGCTGGGAATTCAAATGAAAAAAAATCAGGAACAAAACAGACCAAAAGAACAATCAACCCTATGTTTGGTCTCTTACCTGCTCTTGACTGAGTTTGCTGCTGACACATGAACGAGCCCTCTTGGATGTAAGGTCATCATCTCCTCCCTGCAGGAGTGAGCGCTTTCCTACTACAGAACCTCCTTTAGTTTCTGTACACAGCACATTTGTTCCTGTTAAGAGGATATAATGTCAGCATAAACATATTCATCAGCTGGAATCTATTATTGCACCCCCCCAGGTTCATTCTCCCACAAAACACACAGTCATTGCCACTTTACAGTATTGTGTATTGTGCAAAGCACTTTGTCACGTCCTTTCGATGTGAAAGGCGCTGTACCAAATTCAAGGATTATTATTTATTATTAATTTCAGCAGCAAAAGAACAAGCTGTTTGGATCCAGCTTCTCCGTTCAAAAGGACAAGTGCTATTTATGTACACATTTACTTCCAGAAGAATTCGTTTCTCATCACCTCAAGTGGCACACTACTCATCCCCCCTTACAAGTGCTAACACAATTGTTTAAGAAAATTCGGTGCAATGCTACAGCACTACCCAGCAATATCACTATCTAAAGTGTAGGGGGGGAAGGGGAGAGGTGGGGGAGGGTAAGAAAGAGAGCGAGAGAGAGAGAAGGGAGGTGAGAAACCAGTTGCGAGATTTAAGGAAAAAAGAGACTATGTTCTTAAATCTGAACAGTTCATTCATCCTTACTTTTAAATAATCATTGCAATTGGGTTTGATTGTAAGGTTATAAGCACCTCCTGCTGGTTGGGCAGCTACACTGTCAGAATAATTTGGGCGTCTCTGTTACTTAGTGTAAAGCTTGCGCTTAATAAGTGCTCGTGAAACAAAACAGTGACCCAGCAGTCGATAACACTCTTGCCACAGACCAGATAACACTATGTTTCGATGGCTCCATATCCTTTTATGGAATGCTAACATTTAATTTTTTTGAGGGGGGTTTGGGGAAATTCCAAATTAATTTTGTTACAGTCCTATTTGACACACAATGATGCAGTTCTACATCAACTGTTGGTTCGAGGGAACTGCTGGAGTTCAAAGGAGAGGTTGTAAAAGATACGAAGGGTTTGATAAGTGTTTTTTTAAAAAAGCTGGTTAAATATTAAATATCAGAGCCAAAGAATTTGCTAATTTTAGTCATATAAGAGAAAAGCAAAACCTAACTAAATTCCAAAACACCTTTTTATTTGATTTTTTTTATATTAAAAAAAATCTAAACAGACCAAGTTGATAAATCTAATAATTACTTTTCAGTTGTTTAGATAACCTCCTGTTAGGTTGGAAGATTAATCAATATCATTCTCTGACCAGCATGGCAGCCTGGATTCCAATCGGCCTCACTTCAAAACAAATGAAATTCTGTTCTTGACATTAGGTTTGACAAAATGATCAGCCTATGTAAACATTAACTGAATTTTAGGTGCTAAACAGCATTATATGTTTATGTCTGCTGTGCATTCCTAGATCCTTATTGATGGTCAAAGCTTTTTTTTGCACACACCAATAATGAATGCTGTTCTATTCTACTCGAGTGAAATTCAAGCTCAATCTATGCTATACCTGTGACACAAATATTTGGAGTAAAAGTCTAGCCGGCTCTGTGACGCATACAGAAAAAAAAATCATGCACATTAGAGACAAGAGGGCAATGCTGATTTCCCAGTGCATCACAAGATTTTTCCCCCCAATAACAAATTGCCAGATAATCTCTTCTGCTAGGCTAGATATTATACTGGCGTTGGGTAGTCATGTCACATATATCTCATGGCAAACAGAAAACCTCATTTACCAACCTTTCCAATCTCATCCCTGCTCAGTATCGTCTGACCTTTTTTTCAGCAGTTTATTATAAGCATTTTCTAATTTTAACTTTCAATTTTCGCCATCTTCCAGTCAATTTAAAACTAAATGAATTTGAGGGCGAGGACAGTATCACTGGACAACTGGGGGAAAATGCTTCTCGTAATGCAATGAAGATGAACGATTGATTGGTATCAGATGCAACATAAATATATACAGTTCAGCGGTTATCCAATTGTCTGCAGTGCATGTGGATGCATTTTTACGATTTTGTAAAATACGTACGTGATTCGTATCTGAACATACTGTATTATGTGCTGAATGCACAATAACTTTAGTTTAAATTAAACATAAGATGGTGAAGCTGCTTTAAATGAATGACAATATGTAAATTCTAATGTACGTAAATTATTCCTGGTACATGATTTTATAAAGGTCTTTATGACAAGAGCTATCATTAGCAGAAAGAAAAATCATGCCCATCTTTTTGTCTGCAGACAAATACGTTTACCTTAGCAATGCTATCTTTTGACAGGCTAGTCCTTAAGCAGCGCACATTACATTTACGGCTGACATTTAATTTTTATTAACACTATGGTTAATATTCAGCTTTGGAGCTTGCTGTCATATTCCTTAACATAAAATTGTTTTCTGCTTCTGTATGTATTCCGACCTCATTTTACTTTCACATAGAACATTAATGCTCCATTCCAACGAGCTGGCACATAATGCTTCTGAGGACGACACAGACTCGTTCCTGAACCTGATAGCTTGGTCAATTACAACAAAACAAAATGTGGTGTGTGATATTTTCACAGCAAGACTCTCGCCTCCAAGTCAGGCAATTAACCTGTCTCCTGATTGCAGCTGTCTGGGAGATTTGATTTTCCAGAATAGCTCTGACATTGCATCTCTACTCCACAATAATATGGCAATATTAACATAGAGTCATCTAGTTAGTATATTGTTCCAATTATTGTCTAGTGGGTGCAAATAAAATGCATATAGCTATTGTATCCTGCATTCACATTGTGACCACCGCTAAATTATTTCTGTGACTTATGTTCAAATCTCAATTACCATCTCTTCTTTGTGGTGCATTTTTTTTATTTGCTAATAATAATTTCTGCTGAATTATTCACGGATGTTTTTTTTGAAAAAATGACACTGGCAGAAATCATAAAATTAATCCTTGAGCCGTACTCGGGAAGAGGTCATGGTCTGCTATGAACACTAATGGGGTTTATTCTTAAACAGGTAATGGAGGCCCAAGACTGGAGAGCCAAACAGCCTGTTTAGACAGTCAAAAATGACAAAATGACAATTCCGAGGAAGAAGAAATCTAAAATATTTCTGACACTGTGATATTGTGAATTAAAAGATGCACTTGCATGTAATTAAACTATTAACACGAAATTAAGCTTTTTGCTTCCCTTCAAGATGTACCTTATTTAAAATTGCTGTATTTGCTCCATTTTGCAACAATTAACCCACTCGATTTAACATAGTGATGAATACATACGAGCTTTCAGATATTTTGCAGATTAAATTGCAGCACCGAAATACCTTCTACGTATAAAACACGACTTTGTAACCCATTTTCATTGAGCAGCTTAAAATAATATTTGTATATAAGTATGAATATTAAAATATAATTTCGATTTTTGTAAGTTACAATGTTTGGAGTGATTTAATTCAGGGAGAGAAGCGCCTTACCTCAGACAAGCTGAATATATTAAGTAGATTTACATTATTGTGGATTTATATTTACTGGGCATTCATCTCATACAATAAAACAAGCTTCAATTTAACCCTTCAATACCTAAGCTGTCTAAATATGGGAATTTTTATTTTAAATTGCATCTGTAGAAGAAATATTCTGTGTATTTATTTCTAAAGCTGAATGCAAAATGAGAGAAATGTACTGAACTAAAAACGTTCTTTAATGATTAGCATCGCTGAATAAAATTTTATACATTCAAAACTTGCTTTGTTCAATTAATTTGGCGCTGAATGCCTACCACTGTCCATTAAGGGTTAATGGGTTTCAACCATTTTTGGGAATGACCAGAGTTAGATAGAATAAAAAACGTATACATAGTGCTTTTCTATTACATTTTACATCTCTTGTCATTGATGTGGATATACAGAGATGGAAAAGTAGGTTAACCATTACTGACCCATGGTTCAAACGGTGACATTTAAATGTCAGACTAAGTCATGCATCAAACCCTAAGCTCAAACTTTGTACTGATGTGTGCCTCAAAACAGTTGAGCTTGTTCAGAAATGCTCCTTGTAGCATTACTTTAGTAATAAACAAAAGAAAATGTTTAACTTGGTCCACAATTGGAGATTATAAAAACCTGTGCCCTTGATGTCTTGTAGTCTTACTTCAATGGGCCAGTCAGAAATTATAATTTCACTTCCAATGCACTTCTAAATTATATTTGGATAATAAAAATAAATTAATGCTTATGAATAAGAAAGCCTTGTTCACAAATCAAGACATATCTATTGGTAATTTTGCTGCCTATAATGAAGGTTAATTTACATCCTTACTTGTGTTTACTGTATTATTAAAAAACGTTCCCCTAAGCCATGTCAGAGACACATAATGTCTATATCCAATGCAGAACTAATCTGGAATTTATCCAGATTAATACATTTGCATTGAAAATGTAATTTGCATTATAATTAATCTAAAGTGACGTTAGATTAAAATGACAATATAAATGAGGCATTAGTGAGTTCTGCTTCACCAAATGAATATTCAGGCCAGTAAAAGCTGCATGTGTTTAGGATCTTGAATTCTGCTTTCGCGATTATTTGAATGTACCAATTACTGATATAAACTGATGTACACAACAGCTTGGTGACATGACTGCTCTAATGCTGCAAAAACATTGCAAACGTTTACCTACTAAGTGGGTTTTATGTCACTGTGGCTCATATTGTGGAGTCTGTAATGATTGTGAAAATTACACTAAAAGGTGCAGATCTATTTTCCTCATATGCACTCAATTTAGGCAAAATTGAAACCGCATCACAGCAGTGGCACATAAATTGCTACCAATTTATATTTATATTCTTACAGAAGGAACCCATTTTTTAATCTTCCTGCAAAAAGAAATCTTTTTCATGTTTTTAAAAAAAAACAGAGTATCTATTTCGTTTCAGTGTCTCAGTTTGGAGCTCATGTCTTCTGGGTACAAGAAAAAGATATATGACTACCTGAAACTAATAGTCTCCAGCCTATTTCAGGACTTCTGCTTCACTGCATCCAACATAATGTAAATGTGCATAGCGTGTGGCAAAAAAAAGCAGTCAGTGTAATATTCATTTCTGACTGCAGTCTTCCGCTTTCATACAAAATTCAAAACATTCAAACTGAAACTTATATATGTGTGTATATAAAAAAAATCAGCCAATTGTGCACCCTGTGATATCTGCCAAGTAAAATACGGAAAGGAGTCTGTGGTATTTATACCAGATGCCGGTTTTATGCAAGATGCGATTAAAGCATGACAATTTCTGAAAAAAACATTAATTCAGAATTTATTGCTCAGGTGGAGAAGGCTGCTTTGGATTACTAAGGAAAATGAGTTAAAAAAAAAAGCAGGCTGAAAAGCCTCTGGTCAGAGATACTGATACGCCTCACCATAATGGAAAAAATACATGATTGGTATCTAATCCTGCGCTTAAACAAAATTAATATGTCATCAGAGGAATCACAAGTACAGCAAAGATTAATGAAAGGCGCTTAAAATTACAAGCACGCAAACTTATTTGATTAAAAAATAATCTCAATGGTCATTCTGTAATATTCTTCAACTTATCCACATCTATCCTGTCAGATGGTTATGATTAAAAATAGGTCAGCGTAAGGCTACTGATAGAAATCACATGTAAAACACACATGTGAAGAATATGATTGAGTCAGGGGAGGGGGAACTGAGCAGATCATTTTAAGATCAAAAGAAAATTTAGTATAGAAAAATGACAAAATCTACAAGTATTACCAGAGTCTTTATCAGACTTCGTGCTTTCTTTGTTGTCATTTTCACTTGTGTCTTTGCTGTCAGCAGCAGCAGCAGCAGCTGGAACCGAGGTTTTACTCGGCCCTTCCGTCTCCTCGCTCTGCTCTTCTGCAATTAAAGAGAAACACAGGAGGGATTAGGTTAGCAGATTACAAACTGTGCTGGATTTATTTATTTTTGGGGGCAGGGTGGTGTGGACCAAAGGAAACATTAAATAGAATCCTCTACCTTGCACCTCATTGATAGCGTCAAAGAGACAGTACACTGTGCTAATTTGAAAGCTGTTGCTCTGCAGTGGAGATTAATTAATTTCCGAGTAACAAATATTATTCGCCATTTGCAAATCTGAGGCAATGTGTTGAGGAGCGTTGCTGGGTGCCGAGAGGCAATTAATTTGGGATTGTTTTTGACGTTCTCTCACCCCTGCCTACGAAATTGCCATTGCACAACATGCAAATCTGCACACTGGAATCAGTTATAGATTGGAAAATTGTCATTTTGATTGTGTGTGGAGCTTTATTGACAATTGTATAATTGAATAGATCTAAGCAACACATTTTACTGAATCCCATAGTTGAGCTAATTTAGCCTTTTTCTTGCTTGTTTTGTAATTGATTAAAGAATATGCAATGATTATCTTCTGGAAACATATTAACCTATTAACCTACAGGGGGCAGTCTTTGAGATACAATGCAATATTTTCTCCCGTCCAGGGTATACAGCTAACACCTATCTATAAAATGCTGGCTGCAGACAGATTGCATTAAAAAAAATTGCAGTGGAGCGATTCACACCAATTTAAATAGTTCTGTATTCTTTCGAGCTGTAATAGTACGGGATTAATCTGTTTATGCAGTTAGTGTATGGCCAGGGTTACGCAGCACTAATCCTTGAAAGACCTACTGTTCCTTTTCATCCTGTGATCATTTGTCTCTCACTGTGCTGATGTCACATTTTAATGAATTTTTAGCAGTTTGAGTAATGCCAGATAACCAGGTTCTGTAACTCCCACAGCACTACACGCTGTGTTCATTGCTCTACAAAATAAAAATCATATTCGCAGGTCCTGCTAGGAATGAAACAAATTAGGAGATAGGAGGAAAATGGCAAAGTGTCGCATTGGTCAAAGGGGGTGGGGTGGGGGGGGGGAGACAGTACTCATCAGTTTCATAAAATCTTAATAACCATAAGAATTGACCCTGAGAAGGCAAACGGGTCCTGAGCGCACCAGTAGCCCCAGCCGGCGTTTGATAAGGGATGCTTTTGTTAACTGGCTGGGACATGTTAACCCCTCAAATCCCACATCACTGGGACGCTTGACATATTAAGCACAACATATCAGGCTCAGAAATAAGTATAACATAACATTTTCATTGCAAATGCTTCGGTGATTGAAGGGGAAAAAATGAGCCCACTCTGAATGCTATGTTTTATTGATAGTATTCTGACAGCGGGATGAAATATTCCCTGTCATATGCTGCAGCTGGTTGCAAATATTGCTAGTTTAATAGTCAGATGACTTTTGGGTGCGAGCAACCCAAATTGTGAAATACAGAAACAATAACCTGCTTGATCTGTGGTACTGACAAATATTCTGGTTGGGGTCTGCAATATTGTGCTTGGTTACATACAGGTACAGATTGTTTCCTTTTATTCCTTCAGTTCGAAACCAAGTCACTTTACATATTAGATTCGAGATGAGTTGCTTTTGTCCGCACGCAAAGGGAGAAGAAGTGCAGATCATTTTAAACTGATCTCCTTTAATCCACCTCAAGGGTGTGTTAAAAACAGATTGATCTAAATTGATTTGTGCCTTGATGTGCGCAGATTAACCCGATTTAAACTGATTAGGATTGGTTTCCAAACTGTATTGGACTGCATCCACTTCCCCTTTATCTGTCTCAACAGTAGCATTTCAGCATTTTGCCAATCCTGATCCGTAATCAAAGCTGAGTCTCCGCAGACTCGCTGGTCACACAGTAGGTGGAGAAGGCTGTATTTGTAAAGGTGATAGGGGACCATAGTTTGGGCTGCTGAGAGTCTGTGATTATGACCCGATGGGGCTGTGTTAATGCCAAGTGCACACACTGCTCATATCCAGTGTCGGGCCCTACAACCTCAGCAAAGCTTGTGAAAGACCTTCGGCTTCTCATCCTTTGGAATTTATGCATTGTTCTTGCATTGGATTTACTGACCCATTTCCCGTGGGCTAGGAAATGAAGTGTCACGGAGTGTCCTTACCTTCGGGGGACATGAAATTTTCAAGGCTATCACGGCACACATTAATAAAACATAGTGTGTTAAAAGGCAAATTATGAACCCAGTAAGAGTGACTATCATCTGGGTCTCATCAGTCAGTTTGCTGGGCCCTCTTCTGCCTTTCTGGTATGTGTTTTAAGAGCGAGAGAAATTCCCAGACATGTTCTCCGATACATCATCATGGAGTCTGACCCTGGCCTGACCCTCACAACAGTTTGACTAATCTGAATGTGGACAAAGAATCTGTGTCAGCAGCATGGAGCGACTGTGGGATAGACTATCCCCATCAACTTAATAGCAAACAGCAGTGCTGAGGCTATAACTTCACTGGGTTCCAGCAATGCCACAAACAAATAAACCTCTGAGGTCAAACTGTCCACCAGATACATATTTTTATGTGTTTTGTTTTAAAAAAAATCTTGAACGAAGGGAAAAAAACAAAACAGGTAACGTATTCAAAAGGGAGAATGAGCGAAGCATCATTAGGGTTTAGAAGCTAGATTTTTTTATTAAAAGACGTATTTTAGATCATGAAGGTAGGCTCCGTGAAAACTGTTTTGGATTGTAATGTTTCCTTCATTGGGCTTCACGGGCCTTCCATTTGCTCCCGTTTCTCTCTGTTTTTCGATATCCCTCCTGATTGTCTCTGACTGCAGCTGCCACTGAACGTGAGATCAAGTACCGCAGAAATGAAGAAGAATGTGTATCGAGGAACATTCCTCTGGTTGCGGCGAAAAGACTCAAGTCTATCACATTGACGGCTGAAGGAGGATGTGGCCGCCGTATTTGTCTAATACATTTCTTATCAGAAAAACCTGAGACTTTCAAGGCCACAGGGTCCAAACAGAGCTCAGAGTGCTTTTAAACGCACAAAGTTTATTAGCCACTGTGGGAAACCAGGCGCACGGCACCATGAACGGTGCTGGAGCTGAAGCTCTTCTTAATTATAATCAAAATTAATTAGCAGAAACTCCAGGGTTAAGGTGATCTCCAAATGAGTCTGAAGATATTTTTAATTGTCTTCTTTGTGACTTGATATTTCACAGTGGATATCTAAACTGGGGTCGAAATCATAATTCCTTTGCTAATCTACCTTCATTAGAAAAGCTAACAAGTTTGACTATATATTTATACTTTTTACTACTGAATGAAATGACTGGAAAAAAAATGAATGGCGGCTGTGAACAATAGTTTTGACATAAAATGGTCAAAATATGCATTACAGAGACCACCATGCTGATGCTAATATTCTAAGAGAATAAAATTAATATTTAATTGAAATGTTAGCCAGGATGGTACAAAATTAGTACTGATCTTCCAAGTGTTTTAATCCATATTTCCCGTTTCCGATCCAATGGAACCTCTGAGGAGCTTGTGGATTTTGTTAAAATGATTCTGAATATGGAAAGCTTAAAGAAAAGGCCCACTGGGTCCATAAATGTCTCTCCTTCCACAGACAATGCAAAACCTACTCCACCCCTCAATCTCTTAGGAAAAATATCATATAGATACTCAACAATCTCCAAAAAAAAACTAAATGTCCTCGTCATCCACTCCCCCCACTCGCCCCCACATGTCCACTGTTCATCCCTTCCCTCCTACTACCCCTCTCCTCCCCCTCTAACATAAAGAAGTAAGTCTAAGAATCAACCTTGTTTCTCTTCTCTGAATCACTTCCTAGATGTTGATGAGGTTTAAATCAGGATATTCACAAAGAGTGACTCCTGCCGGTAACTAGAAATGTGTCACCATGATCTGTCAGGAGTAACCGCTCCACTCTGACCAGACTTAAACCGTGTCACAGTGGAGTTTCCATTGAAGCACTGTCTGTTACTGCCAGGAGTCACTGTTTGTGATTCCGAGTGATTGTTTCATGAATCTGTTTCATGAAGATTGCATTTTAGACCCTAAATGACATTCTGAAAGCAGTGGTGTCTGAAAGGCTGTGACTGTCTTCTGTGTTGTCACTGACATCACACTCTGATCTGATGATGCTTTCCTGACGTCATAGCACCTTGTTCTCTGACTCACAGGTTGTGGGTTCAAGCCCCACATCGGGATTTGGAACCCATGTTATCCAGGCCAACAATCCAATGTGCTGGGGGTGTGCTACAATATCAGAAGTGCCATCCTTCGGACAGGACATTAAACTGAGATCCATCTGTATGTGCAGGTGGATGTTAAATATCCCATGGCATTATTCAAAGAGAGAAGAGGGTTTCTCCCAGTGACCTGGCCAACAACCTCCAAAATAAAATTAGTCATTCATTCCAAGATTGTTTGTGGAAGATTGCTGTGCACAAATAGGCTACCGCATATGCCCCAAAATGCACAAAATCACACCATTTTACAGTATATTCTGTGAATATATCAATATTGCACATAGCAAATGCAAGGATTATCTGAAGACTCTCTAGACATTAAAACAGGACTTTCAAAACATAAACATGAACCAAGAACAAAAGATCTGACATTTGGTAGTGAGGCCCTCTTACAAATACTGAAGAAAAGTGTTGAGATGAGACCCTCCATCTCACAACAGCCTTGCTCTCTTTGTATTTCCAGGTGAGATTTTATTATTGACCTGTGCACTCATTTTGTGCATTTTAATCATAAAAGCTGCCACTCCCAGATTCTCCAAGCACCAGCATTTAGTGTCTTTGAGGGACTTCTGAAATCAAAGCCTAGCTTTTTTTCTGGTTGTGGGTAAATAACAATGATTTCAGGACAAAATATTTTTGAGATTTTGATAAAACTATCAAGTGTCAGTTTGGAATGGTCATGCACTGTGGCTACAAATCTTAAGCAGATGCATTGGAGAGTGATAAGTTTCACCCTCAAAACAATAT